GCAGATGAGAACAATTAGAGTGTACACAGCAGTCTGATTAGTGTGATTTCCTCTTTGTAAATGGGGAGGGCAGGGGGAAGTTAGCCACCTGATGCTCACTCCTTTCTCCCCGCTAAATATCTGGAATGATTGGAATGGACGAAGCAAGATGCCAGTAATTCTCTTTAAATTGAGTGTTTGCTTTGCAGGGCTTTTAAAGGGGAAAAAAAAAAAAAAGAAAGTGGGGAAAAGAAAGAGAGGCAGCAGAAAGAGAGAGGCAAAAAAAATATCCTTAATTAAAGTGCATGAAACTGACAGCAAAATGAGATAAACCCTACCTTGCAGCTTCCATAGGAAATTGCATACCCCAGCAATCCTGATCAAGAATTCAGATCATTTAGGAAATTAAGGAGGACTGGTTCTTCAGAAGAGTTCAGCACCAGCAACTCCCACTTAATTTGGTCACTTCATTACAGTGCTTCTCCAGGAGATAAGGCCTAGCCAAAAAACAGCCTTTGAGAAAAAGCAGATATTTTACACAGGACTGACTTATCTCCATCAGCAGCCCCTGCCGGGATGGCTCTAGCCAAGTCCCCATAGAGCATCCCACGTCCCTCAGCTTGATGGAGAGGCTCCCTGACAGCACAGCAGGTAAGCAAAGAGCTACCACCTCCTACCAGAAGACACACAGCCAGGTACAACCCCCTCACATCATGTCATGCAGCCACCAGAGTCAGCCCACATCGGAGGTTGGGTGATGCCCTCGACTCCATCAATAAGGCAGCTCGGACACTGAAGATGCAGTGGACGTTTACTTACGCAGCACAATATGGACAGGTGGTACTTAGCATGTTGCCTAATGACAGATTACCCTTGCTAAGATGCTGCCAGACATAAGCAGGGATCCATTTCCTTAGAGGTGAGTCACCTCTTGCAGGCTCTCTGTGGGCCAGGGCAGACATGCATGAGAAAGATCTTATCACTGCCACCTTGCTCAAGTGAAGTCTCAAATACCTTGCCACAGGGTGATCAGAGGAAGACACAGTGGCCACCACTGTACCAGCACTTCATTCATGGGGACTGCACTGCCTACAGGAAATGAAGCAAGTGTGCATGGCCAAAATTAGGCTCTTTCCAAGCCAATCTCCTCCTCTTCTCATTCCACACAACCTCATGAAACCCATCTTTGAAGAAGCTTATGGTAACATAATGCAAACCCAGAGTATCACCAGTGAAGATGGTATCACTGCATCATATTAAAGCTTGTGTGAGCACAGAAGGAACCAGCCTGCAGACAAACTGCTCCTATGCTGCAGTCATGAGGATCCTGACATTGCCCCAGACTAATTTTGTTTCCCTTCCAAGTAGGGAGAAGCTAGCCATGGCTTCCCTTTCTATAGGAATAAATGAACAACGGTCTGGTCATGATTCTCTAGGCTAACAACCCACAGACCGGACTTAGTTGTTTTAACTGTTTCTGATGTGTTCATCTCTCTCTCACTCATGGTGGTGCTGCATCTCTCCTCCAGCTTCCTTCACCATACGCAGCACCGTCTGCAGCAGCTAATTCAGGATGTCAGGTACATCCACTCTGAGGAGATGAGCACTGTAGCTGGGCTCCCTTTGTCTCTCTCAGACCCAGTAAACCTGTCACTTGTCCGCACCTGTAACTGCTGGTAAATGTGTGATTCATTACCAGCCTTAGGAGCAAGCACTGAGCCCATCCACAGCAGAGTACTGCTGCACTAACTAAAACATGGGCTGTCACAGCTCCTGGTATTTAGCGCTCTTTCCAGGGCTTCAACTAACCAGGACAAAGGGACCTTTGCTACAGGAAAGTATAAGATCAAAGCTGAAATTCAGGATCACCTTGCCTGTTCACAGCTTGATACAATATAAAATTATTTGTGTGCTTGGAGACTGAGCTCAGAGTCAAAGGATGGGAGTTTCAAAAAGTTTTCTTGCCTGTAAGAAATTTCACTTTCAATAACCTTAATCTGCCTGGATTTAACACACCTGACTCACCTTCTACACCAGCCAGACCCACAGAGATAGATGCTCCTGATTTACACCAGAGAAGAGAATCACAGTTTGGGATGCTGTTTCTCATTTACAAGGAATTTGCCCCAGTATGACGGCATACAGGAACACTACAGTGAGATAAACTATCAATCTCAGGTCAGTATGCACTGAGAGTACATAGCCGGAAATCAGGTTACTGTCTCCACATCTAGTCTTTACAGCAGCCAATGGCAGATTAATGGGATGTGTGACAGACGGTTGAACCAGAGGAATAAAAGGGAAGGTACACATATCTGCCTGCCTGGCAAAGTACTGACTATATGAATACTGCAAGCAGATCCCATTGGGACAACCATGCTTCTAATCACAGTTTGGCATATTTGCCTTTCTAGGTTCCAACTTTAAAAGCAACCTCAGATCTGACAAAAGGAACGAGGAAGAAGAAAAAGAAATGAATCTTTGTGCAGATGCGTGTACAAAAGCAAAACTCTTTTCAATATTAATGAACAGACAGAAAGACAAAACGTGAGCAAGATCTTATCAGCATTTCTCATTTCCATCTCTAGCCAGAGTAAAATCTCTGTTCTCAAAGCACTTTCAGTGACACACCAAGAATCACATCCTGAAGGACTTACGGTGTTTACCAAAGCATCCTTATTGTTGGCAAAAAACTTAGTAAAACAAAGAGATGTCTCCCTCACGGGAGTGCAATGAAGGACTCAGATCTCACATCAGAAGTTTTCTGATGTTGATCACAAAGAAGACAGAAGTGTCCCTCCCACACCCTTGAAGGGCTATTGTCCTATCCAGACAAAACAAACGCTCAGGGCCACACTCTACACTCAGTAGCACTAAGGGTAATGGGATTGACTGAAGGCAACATTTGATTTCTACCTGTCTAGTGAGCACCCTAGAGAGCCCAAGCAGTATTTGCAGCCTTGACTTGAATTGGATCCAGGGTAAATGTTGCGGAGAGCTCCCCAAGCCCTGGGTGAATACTGCCTGCAAAGATGTAAGCACTTCCTAGTATCTCCCCGCTCTTATTTCCCCTCCAGCACCACTCAGCTTTGCTCCGGGGCTCAGCAGAGTTGCAAAGCTTCATACAGGGATGCAGCAGAACCATGAGGGGAACGCAGAAAGACCAGTGAGGCAGAAAAGTCCACTAGCTTCCCCGCGGGTCTGCACTGTTCACCAGTGGGTGTTCAGGACCTCACTCCCACAGGGGCACACTGCCACCCTGTGGAAACTGTCCTCCCTCTCCCAGGCGGCTGGGGAAGGATGCAGGGAGATGGCTCGCAGCCTCACCGATGCTCATTAGTTACACTGCTAATGCACCGGCAAGCCACATGCACTTTGGCGCTGTGCTGTAGGAGGGCTCTGTGAATTTAATTTATTGAGACTAATGCAAATTTAATTTCTGCTAAGTCTTTGTAATCACATATCTAGTGGCAAGGTGGCTGCTACAGACACAGTGATGATGCTACTGAAATACAACTACTGCCACTCACTCCACTCCCCTCCACTGATAAATGAAAACAAGAAGGGACAGATCACCAGCAAATCTTCAAACAAAGCCAGACAAGAGACTGAGGCTGGGTGCCACCTCTGCCCCCAAGACATCAGGGCAGCACACAGAAAAGGGCAGAAAGCCTCAAGGAGGCAGGGCACCGACAGTAGGTTTCCTCCAACCGGCTACATCCAAAAAATCCAAAGACCTGGCCCTTGCTTTGGGTGTGCTGGCAAAGAGCCAGGCAGCCTTACCATTAGCAGGTCAGCGCTAAACACCAAAATACAGCCCCAACTGCATAATTCTGTC